GTATAAATGGCATCATATAATTGTGGTCTTTTAGGACTGGCTTCTTTTACTTAGGCTAATGTTTTCAAGGTTCATCCATGTTGCGGCATAGGTCAGTACTTCATTCCTTCTTATTGTTGAATGATATTCCACTGTATGGATTTAAACATTTTGTTTATCAATTGATGTCCATCAACTGATGGACCCTTAGGTTGTTTCCACTTTGGGGCTGTTAGGAATAATGCAGCTATGAACATTCATGGACCAGTTTTTGTGTGGACATCTGTTTTTGTGTCTCTTGGATATATACTTAGAAGTGAAATTGCTGGGTTGTATGGTGACTCGATGTTTAACATTTTGAAGAACTTCTAGAATGTTTTCCACAGCAGCTGCACCATTTTACATTCCCAGAAACAATGTACAAGGGTTCCAATTTCTCAACATCCTTGAAACACTTGTAATTATCTGTCTTATTTGTTACAGCCATCCTAGTGTATATGAAGTGGTATCTTAATATGGCATTTCCCTGTTGACTAATGATGTTGAGCATCTTTTCACTGGCTTATTGGCCATTTATATATCTTCTTTGGAGAAATTCAGATTTATGATTTGCAAATATTTTCTCCCATACCGTGGGTTGTCTTTTCACTTCCTTGATGATATCCTTTGAAGCACAAAAATTGTTAATTTTGATGAAGTTCAGTATATCTATTTTTTCTTTTGTTGCTTGTGCTTTTAGTATTGTATCTAAGCAACCATATTCTAACTCAAGATCACAAAGATTACTCCTGTTTTCTTCTAGGAGTTTTATAGTTTTAGCTCTTACATTTAGGTCTGTGATCCACTTTGAGTTAATTTTTGTGTATGGTGTGAAGTAGGGATCCAAATTCATTCTTTTGCATGTGGATATCCAGTTCTCCCAGCACTATTTGTTGAGAAAACTGTTCTTTCCTCATTGAATTTTCTTGGCACCTTTGTCAAATAATTGACCATAAATGTGAGAGTTTATTTCTGGACTCTCAAGTCTATTCCATTGATTTATATGTCTATCCGTATGCCAGTACCACACTTTCTTGGTGCCTATAGCTTTTTAGTAAGCTTTGAAATTGTGCAATGAGCCCTCCAACAGTTTTCTTCTCTTTCAAGGCATTCACTTTTTTATATATGTCTATTAAATTCTTTTAATCTATAGTGCCCCGGACCTTTTTATCCCTTGTACTTTATTTGTTGAAGAGGTAGGGTCGTTTGTTCTATAGGGCTTCCATCAGTCTGAATTTGTTGATTGCATCTCTGTGGTGTCATTAACATGTTCTTTTGTCCCTTTATTTTAGTAATCCTGAGGCATGATCTGACTTAGATTTGGTTTTAGCACAGGAATAATTTGCAGGCGTTGTGTGTTTTCAGAGTCACAACATGATGTAGGGTTGACTCTCTCCGTGATGTTAGGGGCCATCCATGATCTTCGCCTGGATCATTTTTTCATTAGAGGTGATTTACATTTTGAAAAGGTCACTCTGGTTGCTGGTGGGGGGAGCGGGTTACAGGGGGTTTTGAGGACTGAGGGATAATTATGCAACAAAGTACTTGTGGCTGTGGCTGGCACACAGTGACCATTCAATAAAATTAGCCCTTGTTATTGTTGTTATTAGAGCTGTGGGGGGGGGGGTGGCACCCAGGTCCTGGGCTCAGAGCCATTTTCTGGCCAGGCCCTTCTCCTCTCTCCTCCTCTGCCTCTGGAGGAGGAATCGTCAGTGGCCCATGGCTCTGGAAGGCATATTCAGGAACGTGGCAGCTGTCAATTGGCACCTAGTGAGGCCGCTCCAGGGAAGGAAGACCGGAACTTCGCTCACCAGGTGCTTGCACCAGACTGTAAGTGTTCTAACCCCAGGCGCTCTGCCCCCTGAGTGAACCAGGGCTCCTGGGATCTGGCTTGGTCCTGGATTCAAAGCTGTGCGTGAGCCTCCTCTTTCAGGAAGCCTTCCTTGACTGCAGCCTGGATGTAGGCCCCTCCTTACCCTTGCCTCTAATCTAGAACTTGTATCCCTGCATCTGAATAGTCGGCCTGGTGGTGCTGCCTCCTCCTCATCCCCTGTGCCCAGCCCAGTGTTTGGTACACAGTTGGTACTCAGTGAATGTTGGCTGAATGAATACATATGCATAAGCCCAAGAACAGTCACTTTCCTCACTGCTCCAAGTACTGTGTGACATACTTAAAGGTCACTTCTGGGCCGGCCCTGTGGCTTGGTGGTTAAGTGCGCGCGCTGTGATGCTGGTGGCCCGGGTTCGGATCCCGGGTGCGCATCGAGGCACCACTTCTCCGTTCATCCTGAGGCCGAGTCCCGCATACAGCAACTAGAAGGATGTGCAGCTACGACATACAGCTATCCACTGGAGCTTTGGGGGGAAAAAATAAAATAAATAAAATCTTTAAAAAAAAAAAAAAAAAAAAAAAAGGTCACTTCTTTGAGCACCCCAAGTTTCTGGGATCGCTCCCTTATTTGTATCTCCTTCCTAAACTCATTCAACTCCATTTGCCTCCTTTGTTCTCTCTCTCTATGCCCCTGTACCCCTCTACTCCTTCCCCCACCCCAACCCTCCTCAAACGTCCCTCAGTCCACTTCTATCCTCCCTCCCCACTCCCACCCCAACTCATCTTTGCTTTATTTATTTTTTCAATGTGATGCATCCACAATTCAAAAATAATTCCTTACCTCATTGAATACACGATGCCAGCAATTGTGAGATGCACTGTTATTTTATGGACTAGTAAGAGGGGAAATGCCAGTTAAATTCATACTATAGATCATAAGACACATCTGAATTCAGAGAAAGAGCAATGGGAAACAATGCACATATCAGAATCGATCAAATATGGTTATGATCTCTGTCCAAAATATTTGGAAACATAGAAAAGCACATGCATGCAGCTAAATCACCTATAATTCCACCACTCAGGGAGAACTTAACATTTTAGATATATTTTCTTCCAGACTTTTTTTTTTTCTATTCATATATGGTCATAGAAAAAATTGTACGTGTACTGATGTATATTAGGATATATTTTTTATGATTAAAATATAATCATATTGTATACAGTATTTTATAGCCTGTTTTGTTGATATCAGTATATCACATTGATAAATATTCTTCTAAAATGTATGGGCCGGCCCTGTGGCTTAGCGGTTAGGTGCGCGCGCTCCGCTGCTGGTGGCCCGGGTTCGGATCCTAGGCGCGCACGGACGCACTGCTTCTCCAGCCGTGCTGAGGCCATGTCCCACGTACAGCAACTAGAAGGATGTACAGCTATGACATACAACTATCTACTGGGGCTTTGGGGGAAAAAATAAATAAATAAATAAATAAAATTAAAATGTGATTTTCTCCCACATTTTCCTTTCCTGAGGAAGATGGTCCCGGAGCTAACATCTGTGCCAATCCTCCTCTATTTTGTATGTGGGATGCCACCACAGCATGGCTTGACGAGCAGTGTGTAGGTCACTGCCCAGGATCTGAACACACAAACCCCAGGCCGCCAAAGAGGAGCACCCTAACTTAACCAGTACACCACTGGGCCGGCCCCTCCCACATTTTTGAATCATAAAAATAAAACACTTATTTTAGAAACTTTGGAAAATAAGAAAATTATAAGGAAGAAAAAAGATTTGTTAACCAACCAACCAAAGGTCATCACCGTTAACTCACATTTTGGTGATAACATGATTTTCCCTGGCAAAGATCACCCTCAATTTAAATTATTTTGATGTGTACTGAGTGCTAGGCCTGGTGATAGTGTCAGGGATTCAGTGAGGGGACAGGGCTGCCAACGTTGGCAGAGGGCCTACGAGGTGCCAGGCCCCAGGCTGGCACTCTGCACATTGCTTACAGCAGCAGGACCCCAGGCTGCAGAAGAACCGGGCCCCTATACGGGCGGTCTCCAGGCCCTTCTCCAGGGCAGGGCCTGGCGCTAGGAGCCCTGCTGTTGCCGCCACCTTGACCAGGGTCCTGTCCAGCTCCTCCTCCGACCTTGGGCAGGTCCCTGAACCTCTCTGAGTCTCAGTGTCTTCATCTCTAGCTGGGGGTCATCAGCGGCTCTAAGAGGGGTGCTGCAGTGACTGAGCCAGATCATGAGAAACAGGAAGGGCTCAGGAGTGGCCATAGCAAGTGGCTGAGGAGAACGTTAGAGCCCTGGCTCCGCCACCTGCCAGCCTTCTGAGACTCACACCTGCAGGACCAAAGCTCCCAGAGACCGAGAAGCCCGTGCTCCCATTATACTGATGAGGAGACTGAGGCCAAGAGGAGCTGAATCACCCTTCCAATGTCACCCTGCCTCAGGCCTGGCCAGTGTTTGCACACCTGTGGATGGAGGGAAGCTAGCCTGGAAGGAACATAGAGGAGGGGAGGGGCCAGCTGGCAGGAGGGTCCCTGAGCCCCCTAGGACTGAGCAAGTGTCCCCTTCCCCTGAGTCAGAACGTGATCTCATCTCAAACAGGCCTGAGTCTGAGTGTGTTTGCTGTGTGACCTTGAACACGTCACTCCCCTCCTCCATTTTCTCATCTATAAAATGGGCCCAGCCAGGGCGTTCTGAGAAGTAAGTGGAAGAGCTTAGCAAGACCTCTGTAAAGGGAAGCTGCTGCCGTCACTGTGCCATGATCCTTCCCCTGCTCCCTCCACCTCCTCCCTCCTCTGGCTCCTCCTCCTCGGCCTTCAGCCCTGGGTCGAACTTGAACCTGACGAAATCCGGGCTGTTTCAGGACATCTGGAGCCCCAGCTGGCAGGGGGGCAAGTCGAGGCTGGTGGGATGAGGAGGAGCTAGGCGCGGGGGCTGACAGGGACAGGTGCCGGGGAGGCGGGGACGGGTGCCGGGGAGGCGGGCTGGAGCCTGCCCTGCTACTTAGGAGTGCTGATCCCCGCCTCCTCCCTGGGAGCGGACAGGGTGGGACCGCCGTCAGAAAGTAGCTGTCTCCCAGTGCAGGGGAGGCTGCTGGGCCTCCAGCTCTGACTTACCACTTCTCTGTCTCCAGCTCACCATGGCCAAACGGCTGCAGGCTCGAAGGCTGGACGGGATCGACCACAACCCCTGGTGAGGCGGGCAGGGCTGGGGAGGTGCGAGGGGGTCCCGTCGGGCACAGGGGCAGGCCGGGGCTAGCAGTCTCTGGGTTTGCAGGGTCTCAGTGGTACCCAGGGTGGCCGTAGTACTCGAACTGTGAGATGTGCAGCCACAGCCCACAAGAAGTGAGACCCAGAGCAGCAGGCTTGGGTTCGAACCTCAGCCTCACTCTGCTCGGCTGTGGCGCTGGGGCTGATGACACACCTGCTCTGAGCCTTAGCCCCGAGCTGTAAAATGGAGATAATTATGCTTCCCTTGAAGGGCCTTGGGAGGATAAGGTGACATACTATATGATAGCGATAGCCATTACCCAGGCACCGGGCTGAGGGCTTTTATTTATTTATTTATTTATTTATTTATTTATTTATTTATTTTATTTTTATTTTTATTTTTTTTAATTTTGTTTATTGCAGTAACATTGGTTTATAACATTGTAAAAATTTCAGGTGTACATCATTGTACTTCTATTTCTGCATAGATTACATCATGTTCACCACCAAAATACTAATTACAACCCATCACCACACACATGTACCGAATTATCTGAGGGCTTTTATTTTATTCCACACGTAGTACAGAGTAAGGTAAGCTAAGAAGGTAAGACACAGGCAGCTCTCCACAGACATTTGCAGAGGTTAACATCTTTCCGTCATTAACTCGTTTAAACACAAAAGGTGTACGTGCCCATTGTTACTAGTACTACGATGGATGCAGTGGGAAGATGTGTAAGAAAGATTTAATGATCTTGCCACTCCCCCCCACCTCCGCCTTTGGCCAGGAGCACAGATACCTCTACACTTTAAAAAAAAATTGTTGGCCTTTGTTTTTACAAAAAATGGGACCATTTTTTCTTTCAAACCCCCGTCATGTACAGCTCTTGTGTTTTGCAAAGATCTTCCACCACCATCTTCTCCTTCAATGTTCCACAGCCTTTGGGACAGAGGGAGCGAGGCCCAAAGACCCTATAGAATCCAGCTGCTCTCTAGGCTGTGCCTCTGGAGTCCTGATCCTCTGGCTGCCGCCCTCTGTCCTTTCTGTGAGGAGGCTGAGCAGCCTTGTGGCCCATTTTGCAGATAAGGTAAAGTCCAGCTCAGGGGGGAGACAAGGAGAGGGGCTGGGAGAGGCAGCAAGAATCTGTCCTGACTCACAGACCTGGCAGACCCTCAAACTCATCAACCCCATTGTACAGAGGGGAAGACCGAGGCCTGGAGAGGCTAAGTCTCATGCAAAGCCAGGGGAGAGCAGGAGCTGGCCTGGGAAGAATGCATGGGACAGGAGGGGAATGCCAGGAGGGATAAGGGCCGTGAGAGTCAGGGCAAAGGAGGGTGGTGGCCTGAGGATCAGGACCCTAGAGCCCCTACCTAGAGGACAGTCAGTCTCTACAGGGCATTTGAGCCTGGCTCCCCTATCCCAACCACCATGAGACGTCCACCACCTGATTTTGCATCTCAGCTCTGCCATTAGCTGCTGTGTGACTCTGCGCAGGCCACTGGCCTCTCTGAGCCTCCGCAACTGTGTGTCTTCAGACACATTGTGGAGCTCTGGGGAGAAAATGACCAATTTTAGACATAATGGTATTTATTGTTATGCAAATTGTTATGCCAAGCCTGACTCCTCTGCCCCTGAACCAACCTGGAACCACATACCAGCCCTTCACCCCACATCTCAGCCTCTCTCCCAGTTTCCCTGAAGAGTTGGCCAGCAGGCACGGCCAGAAGGAAGGTTGCTGGGGGCCAGAGGTGGCAGATGGCAGGGCTGGTGGGGCCCAGTCTGTCCAGGGTAAGGGTCAAGAGCATGAACTCGGCTCCAGACAGATGTGGCATCAAAGGCTGGCTGTGCCATGTGCTAACTGGGGGCCCTTGGACAGGTCACCCCGAACCTCATCTTCTCCATTCCCGTTGTGGCTGAGGAACAGGACGTGCCCACAGACTATCAGAAGGTCATGTGAGCACACATGTCAAACTGTGGTGTTGATAAATGCATTAATGGGTCAGGAAATCCACTTAGAGGGTCTCAATAAGTATTTCTAAACAGAGTAGGACAGGATAGGAGATGCTGCAGTAGGTCACGCTGGAAGGATACTGCTGATTCCCTGTTTGTCTCCCCAGGGTTTGGGATGTGCAGATGACGGACCATGGTCAAAACAGTTGGGAAGCCCCTGGGCTGAGATGAACAATTGGCACAGTGCCTGGCCCACATCATCCCAAAGTGTGGGACCGGCTACGAGCCCCACACAGATCTTCAGGCCAGGGCGGATGCTAGCTGTCCAGTTGTTCCAGAATGAGCCCAGTGCATTGCTCACTTCGCCCTGGAAGCAGGCGGAAGTCCAGGTCCGGGTGGAGGGGTGGGCCAGTGCCGACTCTCCATTTGTCTGCCAGGGTGGAGTTCATCAGGCAGGCCAGTGATGATGATGCTGTGAACTTGGGCCAAGGCTTCCCCGACTTCCCACCCCCAGCCTTCGCCGTGGAAGCCTTTCAGCACGCCGTCAGCGGGGACTTCATGCTCAACCAGTACACCAAGGCATTTGTGAGTCAACCAGCCCCCCCAGGGCCCCTGGGGGAGGAAGGGGCAGGCCTTTCTGGGCACAGGCCCACCTGGGTGTTAGGGTTCAGGGGCAGAGCCCAGGGAATTCAGTCTGGCCACAGTTCAGTGTTCACTGAGTGTCTCCTGTGTTCTAGGCCCTGGGACAGCTCATGGTCTAGTGGGAAAAGCAGACAACAAAACAAAACAAAAGCAGAAAACAAAGGCAGTTGATACACTGTGTTGGAGGAAGATGGGGTTCTATGGGAGCAAGAAGGAGGGAATGAAACCTGGGAAATCAGGGAAGGCTTCCTGAAGGAGGGGACACCTAAGCTGAGCCCTGAAAGACAGCAGCTGATTGATTTGACTCTAAATCTAAACTCTTTCTGCAAAGGGTCAGAGTGAATATTTGCCAGCCCCTGGAGTAGAGCTCTGGTTCCTATACTTCGATGTGCATGAGAATTGCCTGGAGGGAAGTTCCCTCCAGTTCCACCATCTGCAGATAACCACTGCCAGCAGTTTGCTGCTTTGCTGAGAGTGTTTAGACTTTTTAACTTTGAACTTTTTAAAATACTTATATAAATACCATCCCCACACACACACACACATGCACATACCTACATGTGAGATTTGTGTTTTTTAATACAAATGGACTCATACTATAAATAATCTTCTGTAACTTGTTTATTGCACTAGACAGCATGTCCTGGACAACTTTCCGTGTCAGAATTCACTACATAATGCGTCATGGTTATCTTTCAATGTCAAAATAGCCTTGTGCTTTTTAGTGGCTGCATAGTATTCCATGCCTAGATGTGTAATTTATTTCTGTAATTTATTTCACCGGTCCTGTACTGATGGACTGGTTTAGATATCTCACTATTATAAACAATGCCACAGTGAATATCTCTGTGTGTACATCTTTGTACACATATGTGAGTGTTTCTCTTTGTACACATATGTGAGTGTTTCTTCTTCCCTAGAAGTAAAACTAGAGAATCAAATGTTGTAAGCATTTAAACAAGTAATGGATATTGTCAAATTGCCCTCCAGCAAGGTTTACTTACATTCCCACCAAACTGATCTCGAAGCTGGCAGGAAAGTTCTTTTCATATGCTGGTTGGACATCAGCACTTTTTCTTTCAAGACTTACCTCATTTTTTTGTTTGAGTGTTTGTCTTTGTCTTGTTGCTTTGTAAGAGCTCTTTATGTATTAAATATCTTACCTCTTTCTCTTATGTCTTTTAACTTTGTTCATGGTATATTTTGCTGTACAGAGATTTTTAATTTTTCTGTGATCAAATCTGGTTTAGTGAACGATTTAGTTAAGTTCTAGATCTTAGGTATCAGTCACTTGGCTTAGCCCTGAGTGTTTTATAAGTGTCCTCAGCAAACAAGAATATGAATCCAGCCTTCCTCTCAAAGTAGGGTGCTTCCAAAGCTGCAACAAAAGCCCTATTCCTGCCCTTCAACTGTGTGTGACCTTGGGCAAGTCATTTCCTTTCTCTGGGTCTCTATTTTTCTACCTGTCAAGTGGTGGGGATCAAATAATACTTCTCTAGCAAGGCTGCTGGGAGGATCAGATGGCACGAATGTGCTTCTTCAACTTAAAGGGAGGTGTTTCAAATGTGGAGCTGCTCCTGCTCCAGGGCTGCTGGGCTGTGCTCCATGAAGGCACGTACTCTCTCTGGTTCACCAAATCCCAGCCCTTGGCTCTGGGCCTGGCACAGAACAGGCTCCAGGGCAAGTCTGACAGAGGAAATGAAAGAACTCACCCCATAGGAGTTGACTTTGCCCCAGGCCTGCTGCTGGAAAGTGCTAGAATTGCCTGGATGCCACTAAGCAGGAGGGTGGGATCAGGCTGAGCCAGGTGGCTGATCCCCACTGTCCTGGCAGGGTTACCCACCACTGACAAAGGTCCTGGCCAGTTTCTTTGGGAAGCTGCTGGGACAGGAGTTAGAGCCGCTCAAGAACGTGCTGGTGACCGTGGGTGCCTACGGAGCCCTGTTCACAGCCTTCCAGGCCCTGGTGGATGAAGGAGACGAGGTGAGGCACGGGCTGGGTGGAGGTGAGGGGTCACAGTGGTGCTGACCCCAGCTAATCTGACCTTTGTAACAGGTCATCATCATCGAGCCCTTTTTCGACTGTTATGAGCCCATGACATTGATGGCGGGGGGTCGTCCTGTGTTTGTGTCCCTGAAGCCGGTGAGCATGCTGGTTGGGGCGTGGGTGGGCTGCGGGGTCTAAGGAGTGTGCTACATTGGCCCCTAGGAGATGGGAAGGAAGGAAGGAAGTGAAGGAAGCCAGTTCCTCCAGGATGGGGGAGGGGTGTCCAGAGCCCCAGGGACGAGAGGGTGGGGACAGATGCCTGGGGGGCAGAGGGGCAAATCCCTAGCATTGAATGTGGGTAGGTAAGTATTGCCATCCCCTCCCACCTCCTCTTCCAGACCCCCACCCAGGATGGGGAACTGGATTCCTGCACCAACTGGCAGCTGGACCCTACGGAGCTGGCCAGCAAATTCACATCTCGCACCAAAGCCCTGGTCCTCAACACACCCAGCAACCCCCTAGGAAAGGTACCTGAGAGACTCCCTTCCATGGACCCCTCCAGACTGGGTTCAAATCCCTGCTCTGTTACTGTTATACTGCCTTGGGGCCTCAGTTTCTTCATCTGTGAAGTGGGAGAGCTACCTGCAATGAGCTCTGAGGACGGAGGCTCCCAGAAGTCCTAGCGACAGGGCAGCAATCCCCAGGGAAGGCATCAGGGCTGGGGTGGTGGAGCGGGCTGGGTGCCTCCATTACTTCCCCACAACCCTGGGACAGTGACTTCACCTCTCGGAGGGTTTTCTCATCTGTAAAATGGGCACGTGAAGAACCCTTGTAAAGGAAAACCTCATCCGTGTTTCTTCTTCTCTCTCACACCACTACACACTCACGACACTTCTGGCACCAGATATGGGGGGTTTCCCCCACACCAAGTGATTCTCTGACACCAGCTGGGTGCCCTACAATTTAAGACAATTCAGTCCTGACACTGTCTGCCTGGAGACAGTGCCAGATCCCGCAGGCTAAGGGCTCAGTCTCTCAGAGCTGCCCCCACCCCACTTCACATGCTGTCCAGGTTGTCACCTGTGCTTCTCTCCTGTGGCTGTGAATCTGAGCTTCCTACAACCCCATCCTCGGGTTCGATTAATTTGCTAGAGCGGCTCACAGAACTCAGAGAAACACTTACTTACATTGACCAGTTTATTAAAGGATACAGATGAACAGCCTGATGAAGAGAAACACAGGGTGAGGTCTGGGAGGGTCCTGAGCGCAGGAGCTCCTGTCCCTGTGGAGTTGGGCTGCGTCACCGCCCAGTACGTGGATGTGTTCACCAACCTGGAAGCTCTCCGAACCCCGTACTGTTGGGACTGTTATGGAGGCTTCCTCACATGTGCGTCATCAATCAGAACTCCGTTTCCGGGGTCCCTCTCCCTCTCTGGAGAATGGGGGTGGGGCTGAAAATTTCAAACTTCTAAGCATGGCTTTGGTCTTTCTGGTGACCAGCCCCCATCCAGGAGCCATTCAGGAGCCCACCCAGAGTCACCTCATCAGAACAGAAGATGCCCCTAGTGCTGTTATCACTTAGGAATTTACAAGGGTTTTAGGAGCTCTGTGCTGGGAACCCGGGGCAGAGACCAATGCATGTATTTTCCATTATCTCACACCAACCTCACAGGGTCAACATGGGGATTCCATAGGATAAGGCAGGAAAGCCCTTAGCACCAGGTTTGGCCCGATCCTGTCATCTGTCTGAGCAGGCCTCTCTGTTTGGGGACGGTCCCCACAGGTGTTCTCCAGGGCGGAACTGGAGCTGGTGGCTAGCCTGTGCCAGCAGCATGACGTGGTCTGCATCAGCGACGAAGTCTACCAGTGGCTGGTCTACGATGGGTACCAGCACATCAGCATTGGTAAGCCGAGCCGGCCAGGGTGCCTGCATTCCCCTGGGCGTTTGTGGCAGGGCCTTGAGGCCAATCTGGGAGTCAGCACAGGCCTGGTGATTGGGACAGAGGGGTCTGGACCCACACAGGTCATGTGACCTGGGGCAGTGACTTCAAAGACCTCTCGGAACAGGGGAACACAATGGCACCTGCCTCCCGGGGTTGCCGTGAGGATGAGCTGAAATAAGTCCTGTAAACAGCTTAGCACCCAGCAGAGTGAGGGTGTTGAGAGCCTGAGTGCCCGCCAGGGCCCAGCCACCACCCCTCCCCGCCCTTCCCCCATCTCAGCGGCTGCTCTCTTTGACTTTGGGCAGCCAGCCTCCCTGGCATGTGGGACCGCACCCTGACCATTGGCAGTGCTGGCAAGGCCTTTAGCGCCACTGGCTGGAAGGTGAGTTGATGAGGGTGGGGGTAACCCCTCCCTGCTATGATCCTTGGCAAGCGAGGTCGGCCTGGGAATTAAGAATGCATTTGGCCAGGCCCTGAAGGGCCTCACCCCCTCCCTGTGTCCCTGGTCCAGGTGGGCTGGGTCCTGGGCCCGGACAGTCTCATGCAGCACCTGCGCACCGTGCACCAGAACTCTGTCTTTCACTGTCCCACGCAGGCCCAGGTGAGGAGGGGCAGGGGACCCCTCCGGGGGAGAGCGGGGGGGACACAGAAGAGCCCAGGCTGGCTCCGGGGTCAGGCCAGGCCTGACTGCTTGTCCCTCCGCCCTCCCAGGCCGCAGTAGCCTGGAGTTTCGAGCGGGAGCAGCTGCACTTCGGCCAACCCAGCAGCTACTTTGTGCAGTTCCTTCAGGCCACACAGCGCAGCCGCGACCACATGATTAGAAGCCTGCAGTCCGTGGGCCTGAGGCCCATCGTCCCGCAGGGCAGCTACTTCGTCATCACAGACATCTCGGACTTCAGTGAGTGGGACTGGCTGGGCCGGGCAGGGTACGGGGGGCTGGAGGCCCAGGGCTCAGCTTGGCCTCTGCCCCCAGAGAGCAAGATGCCTGACCTGCCTGGTGCTGTGGATGAGCCCTACGACAGACGCTTCATCAAGTGGATGAGCAAGAACAAGGTAGGCTGGGCCTCTGCCAGGGCCCCGAGTGAATGGTGTTACAGGTTGTGCACTGCTCAAGAGTGCCCGACCAAGGGGCTGATGGGCCAAACTCCAGCCCAGCGTCTGCCATGAGCCCTGGTACAGGGTTGCATCCATTTCAAGCAATGAGGAGCCTATTTTTATTTGCATGTGGGCTGGCAGGAATTCCTGCCCTCTCAGGGCCTCGAGGGGTCTTCCCATCTGTACAGTGAGGAGCTGGCCCGTTAATTCTGATCCATCCAGCTCAGAGCTGTGATTCTGAGGCTTATTTCTTCGCTGGCTCTGCACTGACGTGCCACATAATTGTCCTCTCTTGGCCCCCATCTCTCCTCTGTACACAAGGAGGGACTTGAAATGATGCTCTGGGATTCTTTTCCTCTGGCCTTGACACAGCACGGGGAGGTGCTGCATGGAAGCTTACTTTCCCTCCCCCCATCGTGGAGCCTCTCTGTCCCCCGGAGCCGAGACCTGCTGGGCTGTGGGGCTGTGTTGAAACAGGCTTTCCTCCTCCCCAGGGCTTGGTGGCCATCCCGGTCTCCATCTTCTACAGTGAGCCACATCGCAGGCTCTTTGACCATTATATCCGCTTCTGTTTTGTGAAGGTAAAGGGAAGGCTGGGGAAGGGCAGGCCTCCCCAAGTTTCCCGAGGCGCACTGGGGGTGTGGGGAGAGGGGTAGCACCCATCTGTGTTGGTGCAGGATGAATCCACACTCCAGGCCATGGATGAGAAGCTACAGAAGTGGAGGGATGAGCTCAGGCCCTGACGTCGCCACTCGGCCCTGCCCCACCTGGTCCTGCACGCTCTGCAGGGTTCTGTGCTTGTCCGGGTCTTAGCCATTCCCAGGTTAGGGGTAGATGGTCCTGGTGGACCCCTTCTGTGTGACACAAATGTCCCCAGGGAAGAACCCCCCTTCTTGGTCTAAGGGGAGTCAAGAGCACCTCTCCATGGTGCCTATATTCCTGTCACCGAGGTGAGGAGGCCTGACCTGGGCCTCTCCCTTCCCCTTCCCAGGTTGGGTCAGAGGGTCTTGGGTCCCCTCTGGCCTCCCGAGGCTTGATGGCACTCAGTGGGCAGAGCCCGACAGTGTGTACTGGCCTGGAGTCCCCGCCCTGGCCCCAGCCCTGCACTAGCCCTAGCCAAGGCTCAGGCATCCCTCCCTTTCCTTATCTAATCTTGGCCTTGGAAGTTGCCTTTAGCCTTGAGTCCTCTAGCGAGTACTTTTTGCCCACAATAAAATTTTATCTTATTCAAACTCTTACTAGCTGCTTCTCTCTGCTTTACACTTGGGTGCTGCCTGCTGATGGGGAAGTGGTCAGAACAGAAGGCACCTCAGTGAACCTCAGATCCCAGCCCCTCTTTGTACAAATATGTTTTGTGGAGTAAAATTGAGACCCAGAGAAGGGCAAGGACTTGAGACTTCTCCCAAGTCACACCATTAGTTAATGGTAAAGCCAGGCCTAGAACCCAGGGCTCAAATGGTCTGTGTTACTGGTGGGGTGTGTGTGTGTGTGTGTGTGTGTGTGTGTGGACTTGGGGGCCTCAGTTGAGTGTCGGACAGGGGAGACACAGACAGGGGTCAGAATGCAGGCCAGGAGAGTCCAGATGACATAATGAGACACAAGGGGAGGAAGATAGCTCTCGGATGCCTGTCATCTCATTAAACAACCCTCTGAGACTAGACTTATTATCTCCATTTTACAAGTGAGGCAACACTTGGGAGGGGAGGTAACTTGCCCAAGGCCATCCAGCTGGCAAAGGTAGAGTGAGATTTGACCCCGGGGGTGGGTGTCCCACTGGAAAGCAATGGCAGCTCCTGAATTCTCTTGCTCATATCATATATTAAATTGGGGGAGCTGATGGCAACATATGGTAAAATAAAGTATATTTGGTCTTTGTCTCTGGTTCCTGGCACAGAGCTCCTAACACCCTTGGAATTTCCTGAGTGATAGGAGTATCTTCTGTTATTCATAACAAGCCCCTTTGACCATGTGATTAGAAGGTCAGAACTTTCAGCTCCAATCCCAGGCCCCCAGGGAGGGGAAAGGGACTGGCCATTGAGCTCAGTCACACGGCCAATGATTTCATCAATCATGCGTGTGTAACAAAACCCCACAGAAAAACCCCGAATCAGTGAGGCTCAAGGAGCTTCTGGGTTGGTGAACACCAGGATGTGCTGGGAGGGCAGTGCATCCGGAGAGGGCATGGAAGCTCTGCACTCCATCCCCCAAGACCTTACTCTGTGTACCTCTCCCATGTGGCCGTTCCTGTGTTGTACCCTTTATAATAAAACTGTAATTGTAAGTGTAGCACTTTCCTGAGTGCTGTCAATCGTTTCAGTGAATTATTGAACCTGAGAGGGATCGTGGACATGCCTGAATTTATAGTCACCAGGCAGAAATGGGGGTAGCCTGGGGGCCCCACTTGCTGCTGGCATCTGAAGTGGGGGGCAATCTTGTGGGACTCAGCCCTTAACCTATGGGTCCTGCGCCGACTCTGGGTAGTTATTGTCGCAATTGACTTGAAGTGTAGGACGCTCACTTGGTGTCAGAGAATTGCTGTTGGAAGGTATTTGGTGCTGTGGCCTAGGACACTTTCCTCCCTCCCCTTCCAAACCACGACCTGGTACTACAACCACTGTTCCAAAGTCAAGATTGTGAAACAAAATACCAGCGGCTCAGGCTTGGAGCCCCTTTGCCTTACTAAACATAGCCTGACAGGAAGAAAGTCCTCCATGCGGTAAACCCATCCCACAGATTTTTTGGGTAGAACCACCCTGACCAAAGGTGCTATGTCTCATGAACCAATCCAGAATCTGCCCATCACTCAAATCTGTGATTCCACAGAGGTTCCAGATCTTAGACTGAGTAACCTCAGCCAGCCGGAGATGGTAGATCTTCCCTTAGATGCATGAATGACTTTGGCTTCTCATTCAGATGGGGGAGGGGAGAATGGTGAAATAAACACAACCCCTGTAATGTTAAAACGTGTTGAATCAGAAATTAATTTCCCCTCTACCAGGTTCTAAGCTCCAGATCAGTATCTGCTTTTGCTTACCATTGTGTCCCCGGTGGTTAGCACAGGGAGTTCCCACCTCAGAATGGGTCCTGCTCAATAAATATTTGTTGATTCAGTGAATATTGGCTCAAATTTATTAATTTAAAAAAGAAACGTTGTCTTATTCATTGCTGGCAGGAATGCAAACTGGTATAACCACTTTGGAAGACTGTTTGGTAGTTTTTTACAAAGCTAAACATAGTCTTACTGTAGGATCCAGCAATCAGGCTCCTAGCTGTTTATCCAAATGAGTTGAAAATTCATGTCCACATAAAAACCTGCACAGGAATGTTTATAGCAGCTTTATTCATAATTCCCAAAAACTGGACGCAACCAAATGTCCTTCAAAAGGTGAGTGGAGGGGCCGGCCCAGTGGCTTAGTGGTTAAGTGCGTGCGCTCCGCTACTGGCGCCCAGGGTCGGATCCCGGGCGCCCGCCGACGCACCGCTTCTCCGGCCATGCTGAGGCCGTGTCCCACATACAGCAACTAGAAGGATGTGCAACTATGACATACAACTATCTGCTGGGGCCTTGGGGGAAAAAGGAGGAGGATTGGCAATAGATGTTAGCTCAGAGCCGGTCTTCCTCAGCAAAAAGAGGAGGATTAGCATGGATGTTAGCTCAGGGCTGATCTTCCTCACACACACACAAAAAAAGGTGAGTGGATAAACAAACTGTGGCATAGCCATACAATGAAATAGTACCCAGCAATAAAAAGAAATTAGCGGGCCAGCCCCCGTGGCGTAATGGTTAACTGCACGCGCCCTGCTGCTGGAGCCCGGGTTTGGATCCCAGGCATGCACCAAGGAACCGCTTGTCAGGCCATGCTGTAGCGGCCTCCCATATAAAGTGGAGGAAGATAGGCACAGATGTTAGCCCAGGGCCAGTCTTCCTCAGCAACAAGAGGAGGATTGGCATGGATGTTAGCTCAGGGCTGATCTTCCTCACATAAATAAATAAATAAATAGATAGATAGATAGATAGATAAATACAAAATAATCTCAGAACGAAAAAAGAAATTAGCTATCAAGTCACAGGAAGACATGGAGGAAACTTAAATGCATATTGCGTAATGAAAGAAGGGAGTCTGAAAAGGCTACATACTGATTTCCGACAATATGACATTCTGGAAAAGGAAAAACTATAGAGACAGTAAAAAAGATCAGTGGTTGCCAGGGGCTTGGAGGAGGGTAGATGGAGCACAGAGGGTCTTAGGGCAGTGAAATTATTTCGTGTGATACTGTAATGGTAAATACATGGCATTCTGCATGTGTCAAAACCCACAGAATGTACAACACACAAAGTGAACCCTAATGTCAACTACGGTTAATTTATTTAGTTAATAATAATGTATCAATATTGGTTCATCAGCTGTAACAAATGTACACACTGACACTAGGGGAAAGGGAGCAGGGAAGAGGCGTTATATGGGAACTCTCTGTGCTATCTGATCGATTTTCAGTAAACCTAAATCTGCTCTAAAAAACAAAGTCTGTTAAAAGAGGAAATGAACGAATCTGTAAAAGAACTGGATTAAATTATCTCCAAGGTCATTTCCAGCTCTGAATCACACTCCACACTTTATACAGGGTCCCCATGTATAAAACCAAACTGAGGTTTGAGTGTCGCGCTCCTCCGGACGGCTCTCGAGTCGTCCAACGGTCCAGGACAGCACCCAAAGTGCTGCCCATCCTGCCACGAGGCGGGCGACGAGACCCGCTCACCCGGCGCCGGCGCTCCCCACCCGCTGCGCCCAGCCGGGCCGGGCCGGCCCACGCGCTCTCGCAGCAGCCCGGCGCCTAGGCCACGCCCCCGCGCTCCTTTGGCTCTCCGATTGGACAGCTCGGAGGAGGTGTGGCCGGAAAGCGCGAGTCTGATTGGCTGGGCGTAACAGAAGTCGTGCGGCGAACATGGCGGAGCGCGTGAGGAAGCGGCCCTGCGGCCCGGTAGGTGGCGGGATCCGGGGTCCGGGGTGGGACTGGGGGTGGGGGTGTGAGAACGAGCCGCGTGCGGGCCCGTGGCGGGGGAAGGCCGCGCCCTCCGCTCCCGCTTCTCGCTGATCCGGGGCCGCAGGGCCCAAGGTGCCGCATGCTCGTGGCCGCGTGCGCCCCTGCCCGGATGAAAACCGAAGGTGGGAGCCGGGGTCTGAGCCAGAGCCGGGAGCATTGTCGGGGGCCCTCGAGGCTACCCTAGCCGGGCCCAGATTCAGGAACTAGGACCCTGCTCGCAATCCCGAGCCCTTTCGTGGCGTATCTCTTCGGACTCCCAGGGTGACAGTGGGCAGGTCCTGTTCCCCTAAGCCTCAATTTTCTCTTCTCTCCAGTGAGAACTCATTCGGCAATTTACTGAGTGCTTACTATGTGCCACGCTAGCGCCTAGCACTGGGGTACAGCAGGTCCCTGCCCTCGCAACGCTGTCCCTGGGGCAGCAGCGTGTGGGGGTTCCCTGGTTTCCTCACCGCCCCCATTTAGAGGGAGGAGACAGCTGTGGAGCAGCCAGTGGGACCCCTCCCAGGTTGACCGTTCAGCCTCACTCCTGTACCTCTTCCCACTCCTATTCCAGTGTGAACACGGGCAGAGAGTCGAGTGGCGAAAATGGAAGCAACAGAGTAAGTAAGGGGCTGGGGGTGGCGAGTGTCTGTGCTCTCCCTTCCCCCAGGCCATTCCAGCAGTGCACAGCTGAACCTTAGGGAAAGCCACCAAATTTGTTCCCTCTGGGTCCCACAGCACTCAAAATGGGGAGGAAGGGGGCTAGAAGTCCTTGGAGGCTCCTCTGGCTGCTCACCCAGCAGCACTGGGGAGCCCAGGCTGACCCTACTGAGAGGACACCATCTCCTGGACTTCTCCGAGTCCCTCTTCCCTCCACTGATTGGATGTCCTCTCATCCAGAGAAAGAGGAGAAAAAGAAGTGGAAGGATCTCAAGCTGATGAAAAAACTGGAGCGGCAGCAGGCACAGGAGGAACAGGCAAAGCGCCAGCAGGAGGAGGAGGCAGCTGCAGAGAGGGAGGACCGGGGTGAGCCGCCTGGGCCCTGGGCAGGGCCAACAGTGTTGTATCTGGAAGGGACCTTAGAGACCAGTGGGTCCAGACATCTTGTCCTGATGGAGAAACTGAGGCACAGAGAATGGGAGAGACCTAGAAAACTGAGTGCTAACCTCCCGCTTAGGTAGATTTCAAGCCTATAGAGGTAAAGGATCGAGCCTCGTGACAATGCCCCCAGACCTCGTTATCCTAATGACAGTTATGTTTTACTTTTTTATTAAGAACTTTAATTTCATTTTTCACTTAATTATTTTGATTCCATAAGAATGCCTCTTTTTTTTCTCATCAACTAATACATACTCAAAACAAAACCCCCCAAATACAAAAAAAACTATAAATAAGAAAGGAAAAAGTCCCAGCAAACATTGCAGTGCAAGTTTTTCCAGACGTTATGTTATACCTGCTTAAACACATGGAGAGAGAGGTGTAGATACGGTTTTACAAAAGTGAGACCACCTGATCTGCGTGCTTCTGGACCTGGTCTTTCTCGTCCCACATTGTGTCCTGGATGTCCTTCCACATTAGTATGTCTGGGTCTACCCTAACAAACTGTATCTTTTCTCCTTGGCCACACCTGACGCTCTGGAGGGTCAGGGCGCCGTATCGTACCCTGTAAGCCCAGTGGTTACCAGTGATGATGGTGACATTGGGGACAGCAACTGAGCATGTCTGCTATCTCAGACATTGGGGAAGCCCTTTATGGGCATTATCTCATGTGGCTGTCTTTGGATGACTCTGGGAGGGAGAGTATGATGGTCCCTCTGGAGCCAGATGTCCTGATCCCCCGTCTCAGTTGTCCTGCCTTTTGTGTGACCTCTCTGGGCCGCAGGTTCCCCATCTCTCAGTGGGGATCATGGTAGTACCTACTTCCTAGGGTTAGTGGGTAAATGTGCACACATAAAAGCCACTCACTATAGATTTAGCTCTCATTATTCCCATCTGACAGCTGGAGAACTGAGGCAGTAAGGGGCAGAGCCAGGATGTGGACTTAGCCAATGCTAACACCCCCTAGCCTTACCCAGTGGTCTGCCCTGCTCATGGGAGCCGTGGCGATTTTCCTCCTGGGGAGATTGAGGCCAGGAAAGGGGAGTTGGATCTATTTTGCTGATCTCAAAATTCCTCCCAGTGGGGAAATTCTCTAACTCTGGGCCCTGGGTTTAGAGGAAGGGAGGGGAGAGCATGACCCTGGCCTCTCAGACTGACCTGGAATACCCCTCCCCTCCCCAGGGCGGCCCTACACCCTGAGCGTGGCCCTGCCGGGCTCCATTCTGGACAATGCCCAGTCGCCAGAGCTTCGCACCTACCTGGCCGGCCAGATCGCCAGAGCCTGCGCCATCTTCTGTGTGGATGAGATTGTGGTGTTCGATGAAGAGGGCCAAGATGCCAAGTGAGGGGCCATCTGACAGGTCCCTGGGGCTCAGGGAGGAGGGAGGGGCTTCCAGGATTGGCCTAGCTTCACCCTTTGCCCTGCCTACTTGCCTGGGCTGAGAACTCTGCCTGAAACACCCCCATTGTGACCCTAGTGGATAGAGTTGGAAGTGGGGGCACTACAGAGGTCGGACTGGGTGGAGGAGCTCTGAAGGGAACACAGTAGGTTCTTGAGCCCTCTCTTTCTCTCCAGGACTGTGGAGGGAGAATTCAGGGGAGTCGGCAAGAAGGGGCAGGCGTGCGTGCAGCTGGCCCGGATCCTGCAGTACCTGGAGTGTCCACAGTAAGGGGGTGAAGGACAGACTTCCCTGGGCAGGAGGGAGGGGTGGTGGAGGTGCAGGTCAGGCCGGAAGTGGCCTCCCCTGGGAACTTCCTGAGCTCTGCGTCCTTCGCTAGGTACCTGAGAAAGGCGTTCTTCCCCAAACACCAGGATCTACAGTTTGCAGGTAAGGCTGGGGGGCCTGACCCCTGTCTCCCATGGATTGCCCCCGGACCCTGAGAAATCGCTGTGCAGTTGGGAGAACAGGCCCAGGCGGGCAAGGCCTGTGCCTGGTGGGCAGCAGCAGGTCTGGCAGAGCTGGCACTTGGACCAGGGTTCCCGGCCACAGCCCTCAGGTGCTTTGGCATCTCCCAGGCTCCTCCTGGTCTGTCCCCTCACAGGGCTCCTGAACCCATTGGACAGCCCTCACCACATGCGTCAGGATGAGGAATCTGAGTTCCGAGAGGGCGTCGTAGTGGACCGGCCCACCCGGCCAGGCCAGGGCTCCTTTGTCAACTGCGGCATGAAGAAGGTAGTGTGGGAGGGTGGGTGGGGACACCCTTCCCAGACGCACCCTGGCTACCGAGGGCAGGCAGGACAGGTGAGTGGGGAGCCCTGGACCAGGCATCTCTGCCTGCCAGTCCCCCATTGATGTAGATTTGGGCCAGAGAAGTGCCTAAAATGAGACTCTCGATAGATAAACCTAGGAGCAAATTTACTGTTTTTTTAAAAAGCAAATCAACAGAAGATAGTCCTTATGCTAAAAACAAAACAGATGTACCGACCCCGTGGCTTAGCGGTTAAGTGCGCACGCTCTGCTACTGGCAGCCCGGGTTCAGATCCCAGGCGCGCACCGACGCACTGCTTCTCCAGCCATGCTGAGGCCGCGTCCCACATACAGCAACTAGAAGGATGTGCAGCTATGACATACAACTATCTACTGGGGCTATGGGGGAAAAAAATAAGTAAAAAATTATTAAAAACAAAACAGAAGCCCACAAAAACAAGTTTAGAATCACTCTGGGGCTGCTCTAGTGTGAGGCAAGGCGAGCTGGGGATTGGAGCGTTCGTTTACCACCTGTTCCCTCTCAAGTCTGCTAGAGTCAGAGGAGAAACATTTACATGTGTGGGATCCCCTCCCCTCAAAAGAACAAACCAGAAATAACTGGCTAAAAGCAGACCAAGATGACCCAGACACAGATGAAAGGAGAGAACGAGAAACCCTCAAGAGGGAGAGAAAGGGCCCTGTCCTGGACTCAACAGTTGGCACAACTCGGGAGCGTCGGTCGTTATTCCTCACAGCTCCCGCGGTGTGCGTTTACTTCACACCAGACCCTGTGCAGTGCAGCAACAGCTATTGTTTATGGAAAGTTTTCTGTTTGATAGATGAGGAAACCTGAGGTTCAGAGGGGTTCAATGACCCGCTTAAACTCCTACAGCTAGTAAGTGGCATAGCCACCAAAAGGTAGAAAAGTGAGATTTCACCTACTCATGAAATATTTACCCCCTACTACGTGCCAGGCCCGGAGCATTCATTTTTTGACCCGTGTCTCGTGGTCATTTTGCATGAATGGTCTCTCGTGAGCAGGTCTGATGCAGGTGCCGGGGTTGGGGGTCAGGGGTGAAGGTTGTTGACCTGGACCCCTTAGGTCTGTTGTCAGCCCCACAGACATCTGGGAGAGCAGTGACCCCTGCTGGTCCTGCGGGGAACAGCATCACTTTCTTCTGGCTTTTCCCCAGGAGGTGAAGATTGACAAGAACTTGGAGCCCGGCCTCCGGGTGACGGTGCGACTGAACCAGAAGCAGCTCCCAGGTGTCTGCAGGCTTCCCCTGCCTGGCCAGGCTGAGGGCTTGGAGCCTCCTCCACCTCCTTGTCCCCTTGCCCTGTCTTCACAGCCTTTCTGCTTGCCTTCCAGAAAGCAAGACCTACCGTGGAAAAGTCGTGTCATCACAGGACCCTCGCACCAAAGCTGGTCTCTACTGGGGCTACACGGTCCGACTGGCCTCTTGCCTCAGTAAGGACAGAGCTTCCTCCTATGAATATTTCTCCTCTCTGTCTGGGAGCCTTGCTTGACCCAAAAGGCAGACCAGGGTCCTTGTCCTACTAACTTGCTGTGTGTCCTGGGGCAAGTGCCTTTCCTTCTCTGGGCCTTGGTCTCCCTGAGTGCGCTGCCTGGAATGCTGTTGAGACTTCTGAGGAAACGTATCGTGACTGATTAATGATGTCTGCCCTGGGGTTGGGAATGGGGGCAGAAGGACCGGATAAGGCAGAGGTGCGCTCAGAAGCATCCTCAGGGCTCCTTCCTACCCGCCCTCTGCACTGTTTCCCCAGGCGTGGTCTCTCCCTCCTCAGTCCCTGACTCCCCGGGAACAGTGGAGGGCCTGGATCTGGCTTCCTTACCTGAGTCCCCTTCTTCTTCCCCCCTCCCCACTGAGTATACACACACACACAGCCAAGCGGCTGTGGCCTGTGGGGAGCAGGACCCCTCTGAGCTGGCCCCACCCCCAGGTGCTGTGTTTGCTGAGGCCCCCTTCCAGGACGGGTATGACCTGACCATTGGGACGTCAGAGCGAGGCTCAAATGTGGCCTCCGCCCAGCTTCCCAGCTTTAGGTGGGTACAGGCTGGGGCGGGGCCAGGGACCAGCCTGGTGGGGGCAAAGCTGTACAGACTGGGCCTCTGCTGTGTACGGGGACCGAGAGCTCTGGTGGCGGCATTTGGTGTGGGCTTGATGGGCAGCCAGTGATCCCCCTCCTGTGGGTGCCAGGCACGCTCTCGTGGTGTTCGGGGGCCTCCAGGGGCTGGAAGCTGGAGTGGACGCCGACCCCAACCTGGAGGTGGCCGAGCCCAGTGTCCTCTTCGATCTGTACGTCAACACCTGTCCCGGCCAGGGCAGCCGCACCATCCGCACGGAGGTGAGCCCGCTGCCTCCCGCCTCCGGCCCCAGGCTGTTCCCTGGTTCAGCCACCAGCCCAGGGCCAGGGCCTCGGGGTCTGTCTGAGGGGTTGACACTCTCCCTGCCGCCCACCTGCCCAAGGCTGCCCTGAGCCAGCCTTCTCTGGGGATGGTCTCCTCACCCCCTCGGCCTCTCGCCACATCACACGTGCAGCAGGGACAGGATATGGGAGCTGGGAGTCAGGAATCCTGGGTGCTGGTGCCCGGCCAGCTGCTCCTAGCCTGGATGACCCTGGAGACCCCGCCCGTGCCTGCTCTGGCCTCCGTTTCCTTAGCTGCTCGCCCAGTGTTCCACTGCCTCATGTGTGACTGTGGTGGGCAGGGCAGCCTCCCTGCTGGGCTTCACTGGCACCTCAGTCCTGTGGGGGACAGTGGGTAGCCAGCTCTGAGAGCCTTAGTCGTGGGCATCTGTGGAACCTGGGGTCAGCAAAGAATGCCGTGCTGTGGGCACTTTGCTGGGGGAGGCTCTGTTGCTTCCGTCAGTCTTAAAGGATGGTGACTAAACAGATGGACAGCCCCAGTCTACCTGCCCCCTAGGGCCCTGCCGGGGCCAGGTGCCTGCAAGCCTGCCAGCTGCACCTTCCCAGCAGGAACCCCGGCTCCCACCCTTCCAACACCTGCACTGGGGGCTGAGAACTTTCTGCCCATCGCCTCCCCTCCCCTGGCCCTGGGAGGCAGGTATGATTAGGATCATCCCCATTGCGCAGAGGAAGAGACTGAGGAATAGAGAGGTGAGGCCTTTCCCTGGCAGGATGAAGCTGGGCCTTTCTGTAACCTACCAGGCAGCAGACCCCGACGGGCTGGGTCCTGGGTGGTCGGGCACCCACCAGCCTCCCAGGCCCCAGCCCATTGCTGCGCTTCTCTTCCAGGAAGCCATCCTCATCTCCCTGGCTGCCTTGCAGCCTGGCCTCACCCAGGCGGGTGCCCGGCCCAGTGAAAGGTCCTGCCAGACCCAGGACAGTGAAGAAGCAGCGGTGAAGCCAGAGGTTCCTGCGCGTCACCTGGGACAGACAGCCAAGACTTGTCTCCAAAAATAACCACCTTTAATACAAGCCATCCCCCAGTCTGGCTGGGCTGCCGCCCTCACTTGCTGCCTGCAGTGATGGTCTTCAGGCTGCCTGCCCGCGCCAGGATATTTGGCACAAAGAGCAGCCCTGAGGCCCGCTCAATGCTCTCGATGGGCACCAGGAAGCGCTCCAGCGGGATGGCCTCGTCCACAGGGGCGTTGGGCATCACATAGGAGCGGAGTTCGATTTGCCCGCCCACCGCCTCCAGGATCAGCACCTTGAAGAAATGGGTGGGCACTGCCACATGGTTCTTGCCGATTACCTGGTACTTCACATAGGACTTCCCATCAGCTTCCATCCTGCGGGCAGAACCAGGCACACATGGCCTTTCAGGGCTCCCAGGGGGTCTGGTTGGATCCAAGGCCACCATTTCCAGGAAGCCTTCCCTGACCTCCAACTTTTGTCAGCCTGCATGACTGGTCCTTCCGCATGAGGCGTCTGTGCCCTGCTTGGCTCCCCCAGGAAGCTGGGAGCTCCCCACAGGGTAGAGATTCACTTTCACCCTGTCTTCCTCATGCCCAGCACTGGGTGAAGCAGGGTGGCTGGTGGCAATAAATGCTGCTGAAGGAATCAGGCCTTCTCAAGATTCCCATTCGTCCCGCACACGTGACCACTGTGTCTCCCCGTGGAGGGTGAGCACCAGGGGGGCAAGGCTGGGACAGCTGAATTCCCAGCCCCAGCACAGGGGGCCTGATGCACAGTGGTGCCTGAACACTGGAGGGGGACTTCCGGGCTTCCCCCAGCAGAGTCTGCTCCATCTCAGCAGGCCATAGGAGGCACTTGCTAATTCAGGGTTATCAGTGCCCCAGCCACCGCCTCAGCCAGCCCATAGTGAGCCCTTACTAGGGTGACATCCACCTTCCTACTCTGTCCCCTAATAGCTAGGAGGTAGGTAACTGCATTTTCCCAATGTTAGAGGAGAGGACGTGAGGTCATTTGCCCACAGTACCGAGACTAGGCGACGGGGCCTGGGCTCCATCCCAGGCCTGCAGACTGGGAGCCAGCTGCTCTGCCACAACCCACTGCCTCCCTCATGCCCGTCTTCAGCGGGCCAGAAAAACCATTGAGCGTGCCCGGGGGCGCTCAGTCCCTTCTACCGGCAGACAGGGCTGCAGAGGAAGAAGCATGAAGGCTCAGGGTCAGGAAGATGGAGTGGTGACCTGGTGGTGCTGGCACCAAGCCTGGGGTAAGCCTGGGCAGGGTGAGTGGCAGGAGGGGGCCTCTGGTGAGGGAGGCCCTATTGTCCCCAGGGCCCCCAGTTGTAGCCTTACCTGGGCAGGAAGAGCGGCCCCGTGCAGACATAGACGTTTTGGTAGGCACGGGTCAGGCTTCGGCTGTACTTCTCCAGGTTGTTCCAGGCGTTCTGGTTGAGGTGGGGCACCTGGTGGGAGAAGTGGGGCTCAGGGCCTGTGGCTGGGACCTTTCCTCTCTGTCAGAGGGGCTGCCCCAGGCCCTGAGGGGCGGGCACTGGCACCAAGCCAGGAGATTGGTGGTGGTGGGGGGGTAACAGAGGGAACAGGTTAAAGGAAAGGAGAGTCGCTCCAGGCCACCTGGCCATGAGGGTAGAGTCCAGATAGAGCTCAAGGGGGAGCTAGCTCACCCCCATCTAGCATGAGAGGACTAGCACCCCAGGTTTCAAAGCCATTTCTCAGGTCCATAGAGCCATACGAAGGAAAGGGACACATCTCCTTTCAAAGAGAGAAACTGAGGCCCGCCCCTGCCCCCAGGGGCTCATGGGAAGGCCAGCTCACCCAACCATCTGTCCTTTCCTTTTCCCAATCAACCGCGTGCAGAGCACAGCTGGGAACATAGTGAATCTGCCGGACTCCATCACTTGGGCTCTCCAGTCCTCAGTATGGTGTCGAGTTAGATGTGTGGGGGACTGTGCTGCTGGGAGCACAGAAGTCAGGTGCAGAGGCTCAGACCCCACGGGCTTCCCCCAGAGCCCCACATCAGTCTCCACCCACTGGGTGCCAGGCCCTGCTTCGAACAGGGCTAGAGGTAGGGTGGCTTGTCCAGGGGGCACAGTGACTGCTACTAACAGCCGACTGACTGCGTGCCAAGTAACTTTCCTTTTACTCCTGGAAGGCAGGCAGGGGAGGACAGTGGCTAAAAGTTCAGGGTCCCCTAGACAGACTCCCTGGGTCTCCTCTTGCTGTGTGACACTAGGCCAATCACTCTGCCTGAGTCTCAGTTCCCTCATTATAGCTAACATTCGTTGAATGCTTGCCATGGGCCAGGAAGTGTGCTCAGTACTTTTATATGCATTGTGTCTTCAGTTCCTCCGCGCTACTGCAGGAGATAGGTGAATAACAGTTTATCCCCATTTTACAGACAAGGAAACTGAGGCTTAGGGAGGCGCCCAGGGCCCCTGTGTTAAGGTCAGCCTGCAGAGCAGGTGCTCGCGCCCCAGTGCTCCGTCCCTCCCGCCTCGGGCGCGCGGGGTGATGACCGCGAGCGCGCACCAGGCAGCTTCCCCATCCTGCAGAGGGGCAAACCGAGGCTCAGAGAGGGAGGCGCTACCTGTGGCGCGACATTGCTCAGGTAGAAGGTGTCGTCCATGGCCTTCTGGCTCCAGCGGTGGTTGGCGGCGGCGGCGAGGTGGCCGCGGTCGAAGCCGCTGCCGCGGTAGTCGGCGTTGGTGGCGCGGTGGTACGCGTGCACCGAGTCGTCCTCGCGGAAGTCGCACGAGCGGCGGTCGCCGTCGCCGCGGAACCGCTCGGGCCGCAGCTGTTCGACCACCCAGAGCGCGCCGCGGGTGCGCGGGTCGTAGCACAGCACGTACGACTCGCGGCTCTTGAGCTGCGCCAGCCCGGGC